ATAATCTTCAATTCAAGTATTTATTGAGCTCCTACTATGTGCTTAACATATGGAAACATCTTGGGCTTTCCAGAGTCAACTTGAGAGTCTGGTGCAGTAAGGGACCATCTATGAGAGCTCTGTGCTAATGGGAACAAGGTCAGGGGTTCAATTTTTCTCCGCTGGTTAGATGGTTTTTCTCTTTGGATAACAACAGACTCTTTCCCTTCTAAGGGTTTAATGGCTAGGGTGGAGGCAAGTGGGCACTCTGCTATTAATCCCAAATACGTGCTATATCACTGAGTTCATACTACAATTGTTTTTTGTTAGACATCTGCATAGGGTGCATATATATGTCTGACTAGACAAATGTTTCTGTTTTCCTGGGTTTGAGATTAATCATCTGGAAAATGGAAGAGATGATGATCTCTGAGGATATATTTGCCTTGAAAATGGAGTCTGTATTTTCATAATTTCCCAAGGCCATTTCTACTTATGTTTTATAGCTGCATTATTCATTATGGTCAAAATGTGAAAACAACCCAAATGTCTATCAAGTGAGAAACAGATAAATAGAATTTGCTATACCATAAATCAGAATATTATGTTAAAATAGGTACAAAATACCAATACCTGCTATAATATGGCTGAACTCTGAAAGCAGTAAGCTTAGGGAAAGAAGCCAATTATAAAAGATTACATATGGCACAATTACATAATTCCATTTATATGATAAGTCCAGAATGGGCAAATCAATAGAAATAGGAAGTGTAGAGATCTTATTTGTTCTCATTGACCTTTTGTTGTTACCAAATATAGGCTACATTTGTGATGAAGACTAAATCCAGATACATAACCCCACACAGGTTAACCCAGATTAGAAGCAAGGCAGCTTTCAATCCCTCTTATACTCTGGTGGAGGGAGGGTCAGTGCCTGGAGAACTCCCAGAGCGCCGGCAAGTCAGCAAAGACAGCCTTAGAGATACGTTATGAGGATCCCAGAGGGGCAGCAAGTCAGCAAACATGGCCTGAGAGATGCATTACATGGAGGATGTCATCCCCACAGGCAGCAGAGAGAGGGCTCTCTAACACCACACAGAAGGCTCCTGAGCTGGACCATGGTCACTTGGGCTCTTCACTGGTGCAGTCCCTATCAATCTTGATATAGCTGCACAATTACAGTCTAAAGACCAATACTTAAGGGAACCAGATAAATTCTGTTGATAGGTTTCAAAGAAAATTTCAGATGTTCTATCTCTATTATACATTAATTACATTGTTTTAAGTCTTCTTTAAAGTGTCACTCACTTTGAATTAACACATGTTTAATCACCATGAAATTAATATTCAGTAACACACACTGGATATCATAATTTGCTAGGTGGAGTAATGAAAATGAGAATTCATAGACACTGTTAACCTCAGCTTCTCACTTTGGTAAATAAGCCCAGGGAAGAATTGGATGCTAATATATGAAAGTAGATGTCAATGCATTAAAACCAAAGAAACACACATTAATCATTACTGCTCATAACTTCATCCACCATTATTACCCTTTGTGGACATAAATGATGTTAGGTGCTATTGGAAAGTTAATCTAGTAAAACAATACACTGCTGTGGAAATGGAGAGTTTTTTACAGATGTAAGACTCAGAGGTAAGTCTTTGGATTTTAGCTTGCTAAAGTCTGTGTAAAATACGATCCTTACTTGCAGCTCCACTATATTGCAGGGCAAAAACATCCCAGCGAATATGAGTCATGCAGAGAGCCTGAGCTAGCAGCTGGTATCTAATAAAACATATTATTCCATTAGTGACTAAAGGTAAACTTAGTCACCTTAGAAAATATGCAGTGTGTTGAGTGTTTCATTAATTATAAGAAATACTACGTAAATATTTTAATATCTAAAAAAAAATTGGGACAATTTAACTGTCTCATAGAAATAGTAAGACCCTGTCTTAATTTCAGTCTTCTAAGTGAACTGTAAGAATTGAGTACAGAGGGTCACATTCTAAACAGTCTCCGAAAAGTTTTTACTGAAGATTATGAGTTTCTAAATAGTCAAGTACATGGTGGAAACTCTTCAAATTATTTTCAGTAACAAACAGCAAAAGATATTAAGGGAGGCCAAAGTGTTAACTTTCGTTCCTAATTTTCAACCTCATTTGTTGTAGATTAGCAGTAATAAAACATCTTCTACACACTTTCACAATATAAGAAAGGCTAAAAGGTCATTCATGGAAATTACAAGGTACATAGACATTACAGTACAAATGTGGCCTCTGATAAGATCACACAAGCATCTGTGGTTGAATAAAATATAAGGTAATATTATCCATCTAGGCATATCTCTATTATTATGCTAATCATGTGGTATATTACTGAATTCACCACATAGGATTGCAATTGTCTAGTAATGTGTCGGCATCCTCACCAGCATGTGACAAAGTAGGACCCGTATCTTATCCTAGGATCACTGGCAGGACAGAATGGTGTTTGGCCAAAAAGAAAATATTAAACAACATTATAAATATATTACTATTAAACAATATATTTGTTTTAAGAAGTAGAACTGATGAACTAGTACATAAAAGCATCAATTATGCAGAAAAAACTCCTATAAGGTCATGATATTAAACGTGCTACTTGGAGATGATGAGCACTATAGTGTTAGATTCCTACATACACCAGCTGTCAGTAGCTTTCTACAAGCTATAATCATTAACTAGAATTTACATCAGTGTTTCTCTAAGTGTGGACCATCTGTAGCGGAGTTGCTTTTACGAAGCTTGTTAAAATGCAGATATACTCCATGCCTTCTCCAGATTCCATAAATCTTGGAAGGAAGGGAGCGAGAAGGAATTGATTTTAAAAATAAATCCTCCATGTACCTAGAGAATGAGAAACACTTAACTCTTTGCTCAGTGCAAATAGCAAGTATGAATGTCTTTGACTGTGATTTAAGGCGATTCCTTTACTCATCTCTATTCAGAACAGTCTCTAGCCCAGTGGTGCTCTGAAACAGAACAAGTCTCACACTTACTGTCAATTCCACAAACTTCTCACTGCTTCAGGCAGATAGGGCAGGAGGCAGTTGGCAATAGTTATCATGACCACGATGGTCATGGAAATCAATAGCTAAGGAGACTGAGTCAGGATCTGAAGAAAAAGTCTCCTGTATGAACACTTAGACTCATAAGGGACTCTTACTGAAGACAGCTAAATAAAGCTGGTTGCCTTCAGGAAGTTTATAACCAAAGGTAGGCATACGCTGAAGTGAAGATGACAGGGAAATCAAACTCTAAGAGCTAGGGAAACACTGTAGCTGCGAAGGCTGACAACAGTGATCTCTAGCTGTGCAGTAATGTAAAGAGTAGCAACTTGCTATTCTAGAATGCAAATTCAAGTGAATCTTTGATTTGTTCTACTTGGTTCATTAATGAAAACTAATAATGCAAAATAATTTTTAGGACATCATGTTCATTTTATTTATCATAAACCTATCTGAACAATATTATGACAGCACAAATACCTACTTTCTTCTTAACTTATTCTATTATTAGGTAGCTCTTACAGAATTCAGTAATAGCCAATATTCTTGCCTAGAATACAATCTGTTCAAGAATCTTAAGAACTGATGTTGTTATATGATAAAAAGTCCCCACCTTTAAAGCTGGACATCAAATGAAGATTCCAAAAGCATATCTTAATTTTTGTCTCTTAGGAGTTTCCAGCATTTGGATTTTGCCACTTGGCTAATACAGAAAAGCTATAGATTTGTCCATAAACCATCTTCTCTTGCCTTAAATTATTAATTTTTTGAGATGAAATTCTTTGGACACTCCCATCAGGTTCCCATTACAGTGTACTTGTCAGCACAGTGGAAGAAAAATAACTATATTGGTTTATGTTACAGTCAATATCTGCAGAAGCCATTCTGCAAATAAATAGTAAAAATTTTAATCTCACTTTCATTGTCAAAACATAAACATTAAGTGAAACATTTGTGACATAGATTTAGGAAATGAAATTCTTTTTTGTTTAGGTTTTTCTACTAAAAAACAACATTTCTACTTTTTATCATTTCACTAATAAAACCCTCTAAATGAAACATTTCTATGGAATCAAGTGATATTGCATGTAAAGCAATTCAAGTTGAACTGTGATGATCTGATTAGCAAAACTAATATTAAAAAATTGTAACCTGTGACCTTGGGCAACTCTGAGACTTGCTTCATGTCTCAATTTTCTCTTGTGAAATTGGAGGGTTGGAAATGGGAACAAGTCATTACTGAGGTGACTTCCAACTTGACATTCCAGGATACATTATTCACTTACAGTTTCTTTCTTTATTTTTTAGCTAGCACCTCTGTTTAAATTACCTTTCTCCACTTTGGTGAGGTTCCCATTGCAATATGGTGCCCCACCCGGTCCATATTGCAATGCTAATGAACAAAAACAGAGCCTTATACTCAATCATTCTTATACAGCAGTTTAAAAAAGTGTTATGTGTATAAAAATCTATCAAGAATTATTCCAGGGGAAATACCTCCTCAACATTTATTCCTACTTATTCTAATACACTTACTGATAGAAAATCCTTGTCTGGAAGGAAGGCTCTTAAAATGCATTTTTAAAAAGTCTCCAGCCTATCGACGTCTTCTAAAAAGCCTTAGTAGAAAAACTAAGACGCTGATTCAATTTTATTGTACTTTTCTTGCTCAATATATCCTTCAGTCTGTTTTTCTTTGCACTTTGAAAATATTTCCTTATATTCACTTCCATTCAAAGAAAAATACAGTTAAGTGAAAAGGCTGAGAAAGTGGGCAAAAATGTCAGTACAAGAACAGTGTGATATTTAAATATTTCTGGTCTTGGGAAAGAACATTATGTACAACAGTCTCTACACAGTTTACAGCGTGTTACTGAAAGATGCCAAATACTGACAAAGTTACATGGCTTTACCCTCCTCAGACAATACAGAACAGAATAAAACAGAACAGATACGAAAGAATACTACCTTTGCAGAGGCATGATTTCACAAGCCATTCTCGAATGGAAACTTGCAATGAAATCTCACAACTGTCGTCCACAAGTCTGGCCGCCTGTACAGTGCACGTCTGCTTACAGTGGCTCAGCGGGGCTTGGGAGGAAGGCTCGCCTCCCGGCAGGAGAAACCACTTGCGCTGCTGTTTGCCAGGGTGCTGCTGGGAGATCTCGGCCTCCAAACTTCTTCAGGCAAGGCTATTTATCGGCTGCCTCTCTACAGTTACACTGCAGTCCACTTTGACCTTTTGTTCCAGGGAAGCAGCTGAACCATCTAGCCAATCAGGAACAGCTGCAGCAAGGTGAAAGGCGCTCCTGCTCCTCCTCCTCCTCTCCCTCCTCCCCTCCTCCCCTCCTCCCCTCCTCCTTTTCTCCCTCCTCCTCCTCCCCCTTCCCACCTCCTCTTGGGCTTCTCAGTGGGCTTGCCCAGTTCTGGTAACTTGAAACTTTCCTCTGAACAGCTCCACAGACAAGCTTGTCAGTCTGGGGAAGGCAACCAATAACTGGCACACAGGAGAGTCCTGTACTTCAGCGCTGCAGACCCAACAGCCTAAAAGAAAACCATTTGTCAAGGGAACGTGCTGCCACCAAAATTAAAGGTTTCTGTGGCAGAAGACATGTGCTAGGTTGTCCCTTTTCTTCCTTAAAAAAAAAAAAAAAAAAGCTAGCCTTGGAAGGCAGGAGGTTTCTAGAAGGAAGGTATGTGTCTAGACCCTTGCCCTACCCGCATTTATTTCCTGCTGATGTTTATTGACACTGTGGTGGTTACAGTCACTGGTGACATCATGCAAGGCACGTCGCTCCCCTTCTGGGGAGGATACTTGCCCTTAGACTGAGCTGGTTCCTAAGGGATCAAAGAATCTACACTCAGTTTGTTCTGAATTTTTTTGTTAAAGTTGAATATGTTTACTTACAGTCATTTTCCTACATGAATACCAAATGCATTTTTAGGAGGTTTCTTTCTTAATTTTATTATTATTTGTAGGTAACACAAAAATCTATTTTCCGTAAGATCTTCTAAATTTGTGTTGTTTTCTCTTGTGATTCCTCCTTCAGTATGGAATACTATGATGTTATTCTTAGGAACATAATTGCTAATCCATAGATTTCATGCATTGCCAGAGCACTAGTAGAAATACATTTACATAAGAATTCTTTTACATCACAAACATTATAAAAAGCTAAAACATAGCTCAGACTACCATTTCTTTTCTTTTCTTTTTTTTTTTTTTTTTTTGTCTTTTTGATACAGGGTCTTGCTATGTAGGTCAGGCTGGCCTTGAACTCACTTTGTAGCCCAGGCTGGTCTCGAACTCACAACAATCCTCCTACCTCAGCCTCCTGAGTGCTGGGATTACAGGTGTGCGTCACCACGCCTGGCTATCGTTTCCAATAGCAAAAAGGACAGAGAGCCAGCGAGTCTATGACATTCAGAAGTTATGGGGGTTTGTTGATCCAAAAAGACATCTTGCCCCCTTGTTGTTTGCTCTAAAGTTGTTAGACTACTCACAATTCTGAGTTTACAACACAAGGTCCTATTATAAATGTCTATTTTCTTTTGCTATATCTGATTAAATCATTGTTATGGCATGTATCTAGATGTTCCCCCAAAGCCTCAAGTGGTCATAGGTGGGGAGTCTTGAAGGTGGCTGGGTTAGGATATGTGATGCTGAGATTAAGGGTACCCCACCCTAGGTACCAAAATGTAGGCAGCCTGGATAGAATACAAAGGGACAGAAAGAAGCTGCTTTGCTGCCTTCTGCCTGCCAAGAACTATTTTTCCCCTACAATGCCCCTCTGCCATGCCATGCTGCCTTGCAGTCAGGCAATTATGGACTGAAACTTCTACAAACTGTGAGCTAAATAAACCTTTCCTCCTTTAACTTTGGGTGTTGTATATTATGTGTCAGCAAGGAGAAAGGTAACTAACAATCATTTATCAGATTTATGAAAGTAGATTAGTCTCCTAAAACAATGTTTAGACATATTTTAGACTAAAATCTACCTTTGCAAACAGTAAGTGTTAAGTCCAAAACTTTACTTTTCTACCTCCCTCTCTTTTTTCCTTCCTTCCTTCCCTTCCTTCCTTTCCTTCCTCTCTTTTTTTTGTAGTACTGAGGAAGTATATTACCACTGGATTACATCCGCAGCCCAGTCAAAAATTTATTTAAATTGAAACTGTCAAATTATTCTTCTGATTCTAGATCTGAAAATCCTAATTTGATTCTCCAGTAACAATCACTTAGTTTTGTATATTTTTATAGTTTTTTATTTTCCAAAAATGGTTTTGGTTGCGGTAGAAAACATGACTTTTTATCACAGTATCTATTTCATTAATGTGTAAACTCAGTACCAGAAAATGAGGCAGCACGTGCACGTTCATGTGGGGTGTCAGTGGCAGAGCAGACACTGCAACCAGGTCCTTAGCCTGCGCCTGCGCTCTGCTGCACACCACGGCACTATTCTATGCACGATCTTAAAGTATCACATCAGATAGAAATACCTTTAGAAATTAGACTCCAGATTACAGAAATACTATTTTGTCTTTGCTGAGTTTTATGAATACATCAGTACTATCTGGATAAAATAGATAAGAGTTTAGTTTAACTTTCACCATTTAAAAAAGTGTGAAATTGGACTATAGTTTACCTTTAACACACTCAAAATGCTATGAAAATGAACTACAATGTCTATCTATCTATCTGTCTAATCTACCTACCTATCTATCCTGACGAGTTGAGTCTTCCTATCAATATGCCTCTAACATACCTTATTACAGTTAGACTGTCAATGGTTATTTACATAGATCCACTAACATTATAATTGCCTTTTCAAGTCTCTTTGTTTATAAAAAACTTCTGCGGTTTTTTTTAATCACTTTTGGGCATGGATGGATGGTCACTGTTGAATTTCTTCCTGGCTTGCAGCTCTGTCTGTCCCACCCTCTGCTGGAGTCCTTGGTGCTGACTCAGTGAGCCTGGCTGCACTTCTTTCTCACTGAGCCCTCTATGCGCAGCCCTCCTAGCTGCAGACACTTTTCCCTCATGCTCTGCTCTGTCTTTTCACTTAGCTCTCTATGCAGCTCCCTTTGTTTTGCAGTATCTGCAAAGGACAACCAGCCCCCCGACCAGTGGCAGGCAGGTTAGAAAAGGCACTTTCCTGGCTCCCCTCAGCACTTATACAGGGAGTTCACCAGCATGCGCTGCTTCTTCACCCTTTATAAACCCTGGTTCCTGGGTTGTCTACGGTCAGCTTGCTAAACATTGCAAAAGAAAGTCACAGAACCTTGGCACCCAGGCATACTAAACAGCCATGCTCCTTTACCTCAGCATGAACCACAGTGCTGTGTGTGGCAACCTTGCTCCATTATCTTTAACTGACCATTCCCTCCATTACTCCATTGCCATAGTAATTGCTGCAAACCTTCTCTAGCAACACAACCCGAGCCTCTCTCACTTGCTTAATATCTCATTCCCTAATTGACTGAGAAAGTCAAGATAATCAAACAGGGGTGACTCTGGTCTTCTTTGCTCCACTTACCCTTTCCCACCCTAACACATATCTTGCCTCAGAAAAGTCCTTCTTGCGGGATTCATCCCTTCCTTCTTCCTCTTCCTCTGGAAGAGGTTTGACATCTACATTCTAAGGCTGTCCCTCAACCCCAGACAGGGACCAAGGAGTCCCTGTGCCTTACAATGCCTTCCTCTCCAGTCCTGCCCTCTGGGGATCCTTCTCACTGACATACTTACTCCAAATCTGCTTCTGTGGCTTCCATTTCCTCATAAAGTACAGCTTTAGCCCATGCCAATGAACTCCGGACTTCACCACTCCTCTGAAACTGCTTTTAAGGCCACCAGTGCTCTTTTGGCCCCTAACTCTATTTTTTTTTTTTTTTTTTTTTTTTTTTTTTTTTTCCGGTACCGGGAACCGAACTCAC